TCCTTGCTTTTTTTTTTTTTTGTCTTTCTGACTAGAGTTTAAGTTCCATTATGGCAGGAACCCTTTCTGTCTTATTTAACATCCTATTCTCAGTGCTTTGCTCCAGAAATGTCTATCAGTGAATAAACTATTGATTTCAATGGTCAATATTTCTAAGTTGTCCTGCTATATAAACAATATATAGTATTATGCCATCTAAGAATAATACTGCATTATAGTTTCAGAGTATTTGCCCCAAACTTATTTTTCTATATAGTCCCAGAAAGTTTTTTTATAATAACAAATTTCTGAGTGAATGCATATGTCTCAAGAGGCAAGAAATAAACCCATTGTTATAGGAAACCAATGTGAGTTGACACACACACCAAAAATACACCAGTGTGTATTGTTGGAAAAACATTTAATGCAACTCAGTGTCAAAATTTTTTTACAAAAATATGCCACCGTCTGGTACAAACAACTATAAAAAATCAGTTCATCATGCAAGAAAGTGTGCAAATAATTTATACAGGATTCAGCTCACACAATATTAAATAAACATCTTTGCATGGAATTGGTCTAACTATATGCTTCTAGTTACAATATGCAACCCATCCTAACATTTTTTTCCCCCAGAGCTGAGGACTGAACTCAGGGCCTTGCACTTGCCAGGCAGGCGCTTTTCTGCTGAGCTAAACCCCCAGCCCCTCTAACATTTCTTATCTCAAAAGTACATTAAAGCTTTGAAGCCTAGCTCATGGACTATAAGATACACCCTCTTCAGCCAGGGGTGATTGATGTTAGGGTAAAGATGATGCCAAAGCCTTCCAAACAGAGCAGGGCTTGGACTATTCTGTTGAACAGACTTATGTATCATTAGTTAAATCATATCTACACTCAGAGAAGAGTCATGTTCAAACTCTAGTAGTAATGCTGGAACAGATGGAGTTTCAAAAAAGTTCCTAGTGTTGTAGCAGCCATCCATTTTTGACCAAATGGAGCAGGGCCTAAATTTAGAGAGATTTTTTCAGGAAAGTTTGTTTATTGAGTTCAAGGAGACTCAACAGTCAAAGTCACAAATATCATAGCCTCTTGCTCCTCACTGCCTCCTGGGATAAACTCTTTGCTGAATGAAAATGAGGTTTAAAGAAATGAACTTCTATTGCATAAAAACTTACTGGATCTTACAGCTGGTACTAGAGGTGGAAGAGATGGGATGGATGGTGTACAAGTACTTAGGACCTGCTTGCTAACCATCCCAACCTCGTGTTTCCAGAAAACATGCTTTTTCCCAGCTCTTAGTTTTTTAAGGGCCACTTTTGTAATTACAATGTAAGTACCCAAGAGAAAAAATGAATTTTCAAAATATATTGCTTACTTAAAAAAAATGTGTCCTGAGATAAAGTCTCAGTATGTAGCTCCAGCTGGCCTTGAACTCTGGATCCTCCTACCTTAGCCTCCCACACGCTGGGATTACAGGTATGCATCATCATGCTTAGCCTGTGGCTTACTTTCTAGCAAGTAGGTTGCCCTCACTAGAACACTGTACTCATAATAGAGTCAGACGTCTGTGAAAACATTAAATGGCTCCTTAACTTCTCCAGCAAAAAATCAGGGGCTTAAAAAGTTTGGAAGACTTAATGGCAAATGCTCCTCGTGGGGTCTTCTGTCATGCCTCTCACAGTGAGGCTCCTAAGACCAATCACATCACATATGTGAGGTGGAGATAAGCAGTCCAGACCTCGGAAAGCCCTAGGTGTCTGTGAAGATCTGTAACTGAGTCCTACCTGGGGAGGTGAGGTCGAGGGTCATCTTCTATATAAGCTGCTTAGACCATTCTGTCTAATAACCTTTCCTGGTCTAAAGCCTGGGGTAGGAGTTTCCTTCATTTGGAAATCCACAAAGCAGGGGAGAAAAATCTACAAAACCCCTAAGACTAAAGGAATTATGACCTTGTTTGTTGAAGCCATCAAGAACTCAGGATATATCTAAGAGTAACATCTCTGCATTTGCCAAGGTGCTCAGGGTGTTTCTGAGGTCTGGTTAAATACTGAGAGATTTCAGGCCAGCATCCAGTCAGAAGAGATGGTTCCCAGACTCAGTTGGAAATAGATAAAAAAAAGACCACAAAACCCAACAGATGTCAACATAGAAAATGATAGTTTAGTTTTAAAAATGCACACATAAAATGAACAGTTGAAAAAAATTACACATAAAATGTAGAGTGGTTGCATAGCAAGATATTATTGCCCTACAGCTTGGCAGAAAAAATATAAACTCAGGTGCACATTTTATAATAAACATTGTATTGAATGCTAAGAAGGATACATAGTTGAGCATCTCTTACAATGGTTTACCACCTTGTAAATCATATCACTTGCTTAGACAAATGAAATTCCAAGCTCTCGGCTCCCATAGTAAGAAACAGAAACAAGGAACGTGTGTTAAGAGCAAGCTCCTTACACATGAGCGCTGTGGCAGAAACAATATACACCCACTGCTTCATGTTCCAATGTGTTGTGTTGAAATTTTTGCTGTGCAAATGCCCTCCATCTATCTCCTGCAAGCTATTTCAGTATGAATTGAGCATCACTAACCAAGTGTCATCTCACCACTGACACACTGGAGGTTTTATGTTGCAACTTTTGTTCCTTTTTGCTACCTGCTCTCCCATTCAACTGATTGACCTGCTCAAAATAAGTGTTAAATGATGTAATCAAAACGTCATTATCCTTTCCACAAGTTCTGGATCTTTTTCTCAGGACACTTGACTTATTGCCCTTGGACCTTTGAGTTAACATCCAGGATTTACTGTCCTTCCTTGGAAGTCTGTATTATTCTGAATAGACATCAATGTCTAGTTCTGCTTCTCGGGGTTTAGGATGGGAGTTGGTAGGTATAGTAGAGAAAACAACATCCTATCTCTTCCAGCAACTTCTATCCCCTTGCCCTTCCTTGCCTTTCTGACAAGGATTCTTAGTTTCTTATTTTTATTTTTTTGATCAGGTAGTGCTAGATGGGTTTGCCATGAATGTCTATAGATGATGAATGTCTTAGTAGTAACAATTTTCAGCTCCCTTTTCTTATATGTAAGGTTTTAGCCATTGTTAACAGAAATCACATGGCCTACCACAGATATTCTGCCATCTCTACTCTTTCCATTGTCCCCACACAAACCACATCCAAGGTCCATCATTTCTGTTCCATTCCCTCTCCCTCTCCACCTGCCATTTCCTTCTTTATTCTCCTCCTCTATTGAAGGAAAGTCGTATGTTAAGTTTCTTCTTGCTCATCCTTCAAACAATTTGTTAATGTTGTATCCAATAATACCAAAAGATACAAGGAGAGTTTAGTTTGCAGGCACTATCTTGGTGAATATTGCAGAAAGCTGTAACCCCATTTCTTGGGGTGGGAGTCAGTTTGCACAATGCAGGTTGTCTGAAGTGTGATGTCCAACCAGGCACATTGCTGATGCTCAGTGAGTCGGGTCTCCAGACTTGTGATGACAGTCTAAGGCACACAATATTTCTGGGACCATGCCCCATAAAGAGCAAGGGTCATCCACCTCCTTGAACAGCAATTTGGTAGGTAAATGTAGAACGTTACGAACTTCTAATCCTAAAAATGCCACCAAAGTCCAAGTTTCCAGAGGCTTTCTGCAGCAATGACAGACACACCCTTCACCATTAAGGAAGGTAAGATATTTGAGAGGACCTGAATATTTTAAGGAAGAATAGATTTTTATTTTTCAATCTAGATTGATCTGGGGAGAAAAGCCTTATAACCAAAAGATCAAAACAAAAACAAGAGCAATAAGGTGGGCACTGATAATTCTATCTACTTTGGAGGCTGAGATCTGAGCATCATGGTTTGAAGCCAGTCAGGACAGGAAGAGTTTCATCGAGAGACTCACCTCCAATTAACCACCAAGAAGCCAGAAACAGAGCTATGGCTCCAGTGGTAGAGCACTAGCCCTAAGCAAAAAAGCTTAAAATGTCAAGGCCCTAAGTTTAAGTCCCAAGGCTGGCACACGTGTGCACACACACACACATGCACACAGACAAGAGTCCTGTTTCATTTAGGGAATTCTTTCTATACTCTTACAATAGACAATAATAAAAAAGAAGTAAGTTCCTTTGTTATAAATTTATTCTGGAAACTGTGGTGGCTCTTAATGATTTTGCAAAGTGTTTACGAGAGGGGTGGAATGATTATCTGTCCCTTGCCTTGTTTCTGAATGTGCTCAGCCATCTTGCCCCCACTCCAGGGGTCACCTGAAGGGTCACTGCTTCAGGGGACTTCTCCTCACCATGAATGTGGGCCAGGTTCCTATTTCTGTTTCACTTCTTTGCCAAAGGCACGCAGTGTGGCATCTTTATTTGGCAGGACTAGGGTGGGAAGCAAATAAAACTGCAAATATATGTACATTGTAGAAAAGCAACATTCTATAAAAAATAAAAAAACAAAACCATTACCCACCCTCTCCCAGAAATAGCTGACAACTCATGAAATCCTGAGCTTTCCTTTCTTCCATAGTGACGAATCTGTTCCTATTTGCCTCATAAGATCCCCTGGGATCTTAATACTTGAGCTCTCTTCATCTTAACGCTCCAGGCCTGAAGCAAACTCAAGATGAAATCCTCTCCCTGTTTGGCTAGAACTCCAGGTTTTATATTCATTCACACTTGCAAAAAGTTCCAGCTCAGTTTGCCTCATTTTGATGTTGGATCTAAAGTTAATAAGGCCCCTCAGCTCCTCACCCCACCAAGGACAATGGTGGCTGGCAACATGTTTAACTGGCCAGCATGTTAAATTTGTATTTCAAGCCTCAAGCACTTGGGTTCCAATCAGTTCACAGACATCTGCTTATCCATGAAGATAGCCAAGGAAGCCCGGACAAACCTGGAAGTTAAACTGACAAACTCGGAAGTTAAACTAGAAGAAGGAAATCTTCACACCCGGAAGTTAAACTAGAAGAAGGAAATCTTCACATCTACATGGTGCCTAGTTCTTTTTTTTTCTTTGCCACAACTTTGGCTGAGACTTTCCTTAATTGGCTTTCTGTTTCCCTACAGGATCTACATCAGAAAAGGGGAAAAAAAGGCACAGGTACTTGGAGATTTTTCTAGGACAAAGGGAACTCCAAAGAGGCCCCTGTTTGCCTAAAAAGGAAGTCTGAAACAAGATGAGGGTTGCTTCAAATACCCTTTCTATTTTAAATCACTTTTTATTGTGGTGAATAAACTTACAAGAAACAAGACACTGCCTACTGGATAATGCGTGCTGTTGAGGGAACACTCTATGCTTTTTAGAGGTAGACTATTGTGTGGCATCTTTGTAGGATAAGGCCCTTATGTTCATGCAGGTAGTGGGTGGGTGGTACTTCTTTGCCTTTTCAAAAACAAGCCCCAAATGAAAATAAAAAGCCCAAAGAGTTTTCCTATGTAGTTTTTCTTCTTCTTTTTTCACATTGTAAACAGAGAATGTTCAATCTTGTAATATGAGTTTTGCCTTTTTCTTCTCAGGGAATTTATAAAGGAGTTTCCATACACATCAAGAGAATTCCATTTTTCACAGTTCACAGAATTCTTGCCCTTATAGTCTCACTGGCAAATTGTTAGGAAAAAGAAAAGAGTTTATTTACACTATTTCTGCTTTTCCATATCAGTCCTAATGTGAAGTTCACATTTAAAAATTCCCAACGGCAACTGCGTCTTTCCCTTCCAACGTCCACTAAATGGCTTATCGCCCAAGTTTCGAGCCAATGTCTAAAATGTACACTATTTACAAATGAAGTGTCCAAACTACCAGCCATCCAATCAGCAGGGCCCCTTGTGGAGTGTTGTCATGTGTTGGGATTCAGAATTTGAACAAGTTGATAAAGTCCTGGGGTGAAAGTGAAACAGAGCAGCTCTCTGGGTTGTTGGCTGTGCAAGGATGGTCAGTGCCCTGGAAGGGAGAGTTAGGGTTAGATTTCAGTACTCAGAGGCAGCTTACTAGCTTTTGGCATAAGGAGGCATCAGACAATATCAAAACAACAACTCTCAAGTGGGCCCCGGCACTGGAAAAGCTCTGAGTTTTCTAGTGTGTGCTCCCATGCACCTGGAGATAGGAGGATTTAAGGGTGAATGGGAGACAGAGAAAAATCTCTGTGTTTCTTCCTCTTGTCCAGACACTGAATGTGTTTTACCCACTCCTTGAGCGAGGGGTGGAGACAGGAAAAGGGAGGAAGAGTAGGAAAGGACTCAGCCTCCTGTCACTGCACTGTTGACTCTCAGGGTCTGACCCAAGATCTGTGATAGCCACGTGTGGGACACATACCTTCCAGGAAAGGATATGGCAGTGTTTGCAAAGCTGCAGGGTGTCTCCATATTGCTCTTTCCTTGGATAACATCGGATAAGCTTAAAATACATCTTCTTCCAATCCAGCTGCCCTTTGTCTGACAAAATTAATCGCTTGCGGATCTAGAAATCAAATTAGTAAAAGTAACTGCAGAAGAGCTCCAGAGCATGGTTTGTGGTTTTCTAGATCTGAAAAATTCTGCTTCCACCCTCTTCTCCCCCACCACTAATCGTTTCTTTCTTTCTTTATCTCTATCTTATTATAGCAAAGGGAAATAATGTCGAGACATAAAGAAGTACCTTCTTAGCTCTCCTTGAAGTTGGATACTACTAGTATCCAACCAGTCTTTGAAAGAAATAGGTGACTGCTGACATCTTACTAATTATTGCTACCAAACTGTATTTAATGCTACTTTAAAGTTCAGAGCATCTCCATAACCCACTTCAGCCTCTGCTTTGCTTTAGTTCTGAGTGACTAGTTCACTGGAGATGCAGTAACTGACACTATGGCTCTATTTTATATTTAAGCATCATACAACTCACATATCTATATAAAGAAATTAGAAAATAAACTGGATGTGGTACATGTCTTCAATCCCAGATACTCAAGAGGAGGAGACAGGAAGATCACAAAGTTTAAGCAAAAGGTTTTGTGAGATCCTATCTGAAAAAAAAAAAAAAAGCTAGGTGTGGTGGTAGCAAGCTTGTCATCCAGTTACTTGGGAGACAGATAAAAGGATCACTGTTCATGGCCAGTCCTGGGTAAAAAGCATGAGACTTGAAAAAATGAACAAGGCAGAAAGGGTTGTGGGTGTGGCTATAGTTGGAGAGTGCATGCTTAGCAAGTGCAAATTCAAATTCCAGTACCTCCAAAGTAAAAAATAAAAAAGAAGTTGGGGAAAAAAAAACCTTTCAGGACAGTGTGAGGAGAGGGAATAAGCTTAAAGCTGGAATCTGAGGATCCAAATTCAAATTCAGTGTTATTTGTTTCACCTAGAGAGCTGCTTCCCAAATTTGGACTGGCCACTCAGCCATTTGTAGCCTTGGTTTGTTTGTCCGTCTGAAGTGCCTGTCTTCCCTGGGTCGTCAGCACGGGGGGAAGGAATGTCTGTGGCAGCACTTGGATAATGCACCATAAAAATATACCTTTTTTTTTTTTAAGGAAAGGAAGTATACCAGTGATGAATTTTTTTTTGTTGACTTGTAAAAAATATAATTAGGTTAATATTTTTTTCATCAAAACAATAAAACTCAAACCCCAAGCTCTCTCACTCATGTAGAAGCTCTTTAAATGTAGTTTTCCAGGCGATGCAGGTTAGGCCTGGGGTGCCTATCCCTCATGTTAGGGAAGGCGAGGGGAAGGTGGGCAGGCTGCTGGCCCCTTTACCTGCCGCTCAGAGAAGTGGTACTGGCAGAGTTTCTTCCACAGCAGCCTGTCCTCACTGAGCACATGCAGGTCTGGGGCCACCTGGCCAAGGCTGACCAGGTCCCGTCCGTCACTCAACCTTTGCAAGATATTCAGTTGTAAGCATAAAGGCAGGTCAGTGAAGGTGAGGCCTTTGAAGGCAGGCTGCAAGAGAGGATAACAGCTGATAAGAGGCTGGGGGTCCGCGAGCCACTGCGCCCCTCTTGACACCCCCCAAGGAGGCCACTGGCCTGCGGTCCTCCACTTTCAAGCTGGTTGACTGTCAGGAGTCAAAAGCAGTGATGGTCCCCATCCTCCATACAGAAGTCCTACAGGGAGAATTCTGCAGTGGCTGGCACTGAATGGTGCCACAGGCCTTTTCCTGCTCCACTGCTCAATCGTACACTTCTGGCCTTCCCAAGGGTCATGGCCCCACAAAGAGTGAGTGTCCCAGCCTGACATCTCACTGCCCAGTGTCACCTTGGGGCCTTCTACCCAAATACAGCCCCAGACACATCTTCCTATCTACGCCTCTTTCCTTTCCCTTAGGATAGGAGTTGCTTTGGCAATTCCTCCCAGCCCCATGCATGGAACTTGCCTAGAACATCTAAGATCTTCAATTATGTACCCCCACAACCCACAACCCTGAATTGGTACATCCCTGCTGCATCCTGAAGGTAAGGTTTTTTTGTTTTTTTTAAATCTGGTTCTGCTGCTGTGCCCCTATGGTCCAGAAGAGGGCTTGGAACAGAACACACACTTGGCAGATATAGGTAGAACGAATGAAACCTGCATAGTTTTAACTGAATAGTGTAAAAACAGGTTTTTTTTGAAAGAACAATAATACAAAGACACTGTGTTTGTGTGTCTGTGTGTTTGTATTTGTGTGTGTATGTAATGTGTATGTGTGTACATGAATCTATGTTTGCACGTATGTGTGTGGATCTGTGCATATAAGTTTCTGAGTTTGTGTGTGTTGTATTTGTGTATGTATGCAGGTGTGTCTATGTATCTATAAATGTATGAACGTGTATGTCTTGTCTCTGTGTGTATGTGCAGACTATAGATTTTAGCGTGATAGTGTATAATTTGAGAGGTCACAGAATAAAATAAGCACAGGATGAAGAAACCTTTCCTTACCCTGGCAATGGGTATTACATTCCCTCATCAAGTTTTTAGTAAGAGAAATCCTGCAGGGAACAGAGGAGAGGAAACAAAGGCCAAACCCATGGAGGAAGGATTGCAGGGCTCACTCAGGCCCAGCAATTGCCTGTGTCCATGCAAGGCGGGACTGGCATGCAGAGGGAAGGTGGGCAGTGGCACTGGGCCTTGACAAGGAGGACCAGTGAAGAACAGAAGTGGCTAGGCAGCAGAGCGGGAGCCCAGGCATCTTTGGGAAATGACATCAGTATTTCCCAAGAAAAATGACCAGATTTAGAAGGCAGCAATGGTCTCTCCAGCTCTAACAGTCTCCAAATTGGGCCTCCTGTTTCATCAAAGTGTCTGTGACTCCACATTTTGATCTCTCACTTTTCTCAGGTTGCTCAGCTGGGCTTTTTGTTGCTTGTAGTGTTCAAGAGCTGGTGTGACTGCATAAACCTGTAGACTATTTATCATCTGTTGCTAATCATGTGAGCTAATAAAACTGCCATGAGATTTTCGTTTGGTTTCCAACACTTCAAAGCCTCTACTTTTTTATTTTTTTTTTGGTTAAAAATGCCCAGGCCAATTATTACATTAACTTTATTAAAGGCAAGTCCACTTGGCAAAGTTCACTCTGTCAAATTTTCAAACCTGAACTTTTCCAAAATCCTTGCCTAGACTCCCATGCCAAACTCCTACTGCTGATAAATGGTTAACTGCTTGTGCGCCTTGCTGGTTGGCTATAAACGTAAAATAAAAACTTTTGCTTCTCTAGTGAAGCATTTGGCTAACATCCACTTATGTCTCTCTGCCTCCCACGTTTCAAAACCTTGCCTTGCCCCTGGCATTGTAATTATATTTCATTTTCCCTCTACAAACCAGTTCCTTTCATTTTTTTCTCCCTTCATCCTTTATTAGTTGAATTACAGTTGCCAACAAAAATTCATTCCAAAGAATTAGATATGAAGATTTCGAAGGAAAAGAAGATTATATACTGGAAAGATATTCATTGGATTTTGGCACGTATTTACTATGAAAGCCACCTTTAATATGTTCGGGGAATAACATACTTCTCTTAGTCCTAAACTCTTAGGAAGAATGTTTTAAAATACAATCTGCATTGAAGTAATGAAGTCCTCTCTGTCTCTTCTTTATCCTCTCTCTGCAGAGTTGAGCATTTATGGGAAAAGTTCTTCAGAGCTCTATAAAGATTCCAGTTCAGCTTTCAAACATTAAATAGAGCTCAGAGCCCAGGAGGGTTGGGACTGAGAATGTGGTAGATGAGAGAGCAAGGGTTAAAAGGATAGCTTGGTCTTGGCAAAATGATACCTGGCCCTCCACATCTGTAGATTCTGTATCTTCAGTCAAAATGAACCAGGGGTAGAAGATATTCAGAAAAACCAGGTCCTATTCTTAGCTACTTGGGAAGCTGAGATTGGGAGGATCACAGATCAAGGCCAGGCCAGGAAGAAAAGTGTTCAACACCTCTTTTCAACAGATAGCTGGACAAGGTGTTGCATCTACTATTTTAGCTATAACAAAAAGCCTAGGTAGCTCTCAGGCAGGAAGCAAGACCCTATCTCAAATATAGCAGAAAATCAGGGCTGAAGGTATGGCTTAGTGGTAAGAGCACCTTTGTAGCAAGTGGGACCCAGAGTTCACACCCTAATACAGTGAGAAAATAAAAATGTGCATATATACTGTGCACGTGCAGTTTCTTTTTTCTTGTCATTCTTCCTTAACAATACAGCGTAACAGCTATTTGCATAGCATTTACATAGAATTAAATATTGTGGGCTTTAGGGAGAATTTAGAGAAGGATATATGTAGGTTATATGCAATTGTTACACTATTTTATTTTGAGACTTAAGCATTCATGGATTTTGGTGTCCTCAGGAGTCTTTTTTTTTTTTTGGGTCCGGTTGTGGGGGCTGAACTCTGGGCCTGGGCTCTGTCCCTCAGCTCTTCAGCTCAAGGCTAGCACTCTACCACTTGAGCCACAGCGCCACTTCCAGCTTTTTTCTTTTTGCTTAACCCAGGGCCTCAGGCATGGAAGGCAAGTGCTCTACCACTGAGCCAACTTCCCAGCCCAATGTCCTCAGGAGTCTTGAAAGCAATCTCCTATGGATACTGGGGACAAATATATTCTTTTTTTTGTGCTGATCCTGTGACTTGAACTTAGGGACAAGGCACTGTCACTGAGCTTTTTTGATCAAGGCTAACAATGTCCCATTTGAGTCACACCTCCATTTCTGGATTTTTTGAGTGCTTAATTGGAGATAAGAGTTTCACGGACTTTTTCTGCCCAGGCTGGCTTTGAACTATGATCCTTGGATCTTAGACTCCTGTGTAGTTAGGATTACAGGCGTGAGCTACCAGTGCCTAGCTTGACAAATATGTCCTTAACTCTTCAATCTAATTGTTTCTCATTTATAAAATGAAGAAATGTGTGTTTTATAGCACTTTTGGGTGGGATGGATGAGATACTGAATGGAAGTCTTTAGCACAGTACCCAGTAAATTTTAGTCAATTATCCAAATTACAATTATTTGGTAGATGAGATAATTAATACACATGAAGGACTCAGAAGACTGTGAGGTTAAGAAAGGCCTTGATAATAACACTTGACACATTTACCATACTTTCTTTGTACCAGACACTGTTCCAGCAGCTTTCTATAGACTCAAGAGCTCTCTCATAGGGCTAAGCGGTGGCATCAGTGCACCAGTTTTCCAAATAAAAGAAATGAGGCCTGGAGACACTGGATAACTTTCCTCAAACCTGTAATTGGTAAATTACCATTATCATTCATCATCCAGGGCAGTATTTTCCCACTGTGTTGCTCTGAACACTGAACAAGTACTTCTGCAAGCAGCGAGGAAGAAGATGGCCCTTCACACATTCATTCGTTCAACTTGAAACTTCCCGGCTGCCTTGTGCCAGGGAAAAAAGCAAAGATAGATAATGTCCTTTATGGAGTTTATAAGCCATGGGTGGAGATGAGGCACATGGGCCTGCTCCCAGGAAGTGCTCTGAGGGAGGGGATAGGACAGGGGCTTCCCACATTGCTGGTCAGGGAAGAATCTGGGCTAAAGGTCCCGAGGCAGGACCAGCCTGGAGTGTGCACACAGCAGCTGGGGGGGCTTGAGCAGCTCAAGCACAGTGGACAGGGGATGAACTCCTGCTTAATCTCTTTTGCATCAGATTTCATTGGATTAAAGAAGGATTTTTAAAAGCTGGATCACTGAATAAGTAATTAGAAGAATGTGAGACGGGAGGAAGGCTTGGAGACTACTGACGTTCAGCAAGCTTTGCCATTTTAGGAATAAGGAGTCGAGGGCTCTGACCTCAGCTTTAGGCCCATCTGCTGTGTAATGTGTGGAGAGTCACTATGCTTCTCTGGTCTCTACTCCAGTTCCTTTCTATAAGGAACTATTTTGAATTCCCAGATTTCAGCACCAAAGATAAAGAACTATTTCAAGGGCTGAAGAAGACTTGGGTGCCTTTCTCAGGTGCAGTCCAATAAACCTGTTGGCCTGTGAGTTTGTCTTTTTGATCTTTTAAAAATTTATATTCCAGGGGCTGGGAAGGTGGCTCAGTGGTAGAGCGCTTGCCTTGCATGCCTGAGGCCCTGGGCGAATATAAGCAAAAAGAAAAAAGCCGGAAGTGGCGCTGTGGCTCAAGTGGTAGAGCACTAGCCTTGAGCTGAAGAGCTGAGGGACAGCACCCAGGCCCAGAGTTCAGGCCCCACAACCGGACCCCAAAAAAAATAGTTTTTGGAAGATGACCTGTACTTGTGTGTGTGGGTATGTGTATACCTGTGTATGTAGCTGAAGTGATACTAAGAAAGTTACAAAACTCTGAAGCTTCTAATTATTCCTTGCTGTGGAGTTTAAGAAAGCAAGACCCAGGGGCTGGGAATGTGGCTTAGTGGTAGAGTACTTGCCTAGCATGCATGAAGCTCTGGGTTTGATTCCTCAGTACCACATATATAGAAAAAGCCAGAAATAGTGCTGTGACTTAAGTGGTAGCTCACTAGCCTTGAGCACAGAGAGGCTCAAGGACAGTGCCCAGGCCCTGAGTTCAAGCCCCAGGACCAGCAAAAACAAACAAACAAAAAACAAGATCCAGAGAAACCATTGATATAACAGTAAAGCAAAGGAAGTGGCTTCTGAAACTTCTTACAGTAAAATAGTTATTGAAGAGGCCGAGGTTTCAATATGCTACCTCCTCCTGATACAGTACAACCCAAACGTTTATCAGTGTGGATTCCGGAAGCCATTAACAGCCACATCCAGTATTAGATAAGTAAGCAGAGTGCTATGTGAGCTGCTTAAGTGCCTGTCCATTAGCGAGCCCTGAGCAGTTACAGCACTGTAGTGTCTTTTGCGTTTTGATTAGTGAGCCCTAAGCGGTTACAGCACTGTAGTGTCTTTTGCATTTTGTGTGCTTTGGTCCTTCTGCCTCACTATTAAGGGGACAAGAATGGAGGGGGAGTTATATTTTGAAAGCCCAAAGCAGCTACTGACAGAGGTAGGTATGGTTTGCTGCTACCATAGAGCTTTAAAAATAAAATTCAGTGAGAATGCTCACACTCTTTTTCTTTGTATATTCACAGTACTATAGAAGAAATCAATTTTTTTTTGTGCCAGTCCTGGGGCTTGAACTCAGGGCCTGGGCATTGTCCCTGAGTTTTTTTTTTCTTCTTCTTTTTTTTTTCTCAAGGCTAGTGCTTTACTACTTGAGCCACACCACCACTGCCAAGAATCAGAATTAAAAACAATTTTTTTTTGGCTGGTCTGAATGTTTGAACCCAGGGCTTAGGTGCTGTCCGTGAGCTCCTTTTGTTTGAGATTAGCCCTTTACCACTTCAGTTATAGTTGCATTATTAGAGATAAGGGTAGCCAGGCATCGGTGGCTCACACTTGTAATCCTAGCTACTCAGGAGGCTGAGATCTGAGGATCGAGGTTCAAAGCCAGCCCAGGCAGGAAAGTCTGTGAGACTCTTATCTCCAATAAACCACTAGAAAACTGGAAGTGCCACTGTGGCTCAAGTGGTAGAGTGCTCACCTTGAGCTGAAGAGTGCAGGGACAGGGCCCAAGCCCAGAGTTCAAGCCCCATGACCAACCAAAAAAAAAAAAGTAGAGATAAGGGTCTCATGCACATTCCTGTCTGCACTAGCTTTGAACTGAGATCCTCAGAGGTTAGCCTCCTGAGAACCTAGGATTGTAAGTATGAGCCTTTGGCACCCCGCCAGGAACCAGAATTTTAAAAGGCTGGTGCCAGTTCACCAAGCCACTGCCTGCATGGGCTCCACTGGAGTTAAGACAGCATCAAACAATTCATTTTTTAAAAAAGTTTATCACCCTGAGAAAAAGAACAGAGAGATCCCCCAAATCCACTGGGACAGCTGGCATCACCTCCAAAGCCAACTTCTCAATTCCCCATCATAATGTTTCAATTAGCTGTCATCTTTCACATCTTTCCATTCCATTTTACCAAGTGATTGTCGTTCCCCCCCCCATCCCTGCCCACAGCACCAGGATAAAGGGTGTCATCAGAAGAGGCCAGATTCCTCCCTCACCAGCCCTGGCACTCAGTGTGGCTGTACAGCTTCCCTGTGGGAGGTGGGGCCTGTCCTGCTTACCCTGGTGATCTGGATGTTGTTCAGCTGTTGCTGCCAGTGTAGAATGGTCTCCATCCGATACACCCACATGTTGATGTTTCCCACCAGCACAGACTTGCCCACTCTTTGGACCAATGTGCAGAGGGAGGTGTAGAGGGTCTGCAGTAGCTCCCTTATAAGTCTAATGTTTTGTTGGTCTTCAAGAACTTGAGTGGGGAAGAAAACAAATATAATCCCAAGTTATGATACTAAAACTGTGAACATTTTATTAGAAGGCTTTTCTTCTTCTTCACCTGCTCCTCTCACCTGGACACGGCCTCTGGGAATATATATATATATATTTTCATTTTTTAAAAACGCTTGGCAAAGCTTTAGTGCTGGAGGCCAGCCGGTAGAGTTTGCATTGATCTAGGACCCTCTTTGTTCTCTCCTTTCTGGGTTTTTATATAAAGCACCCCCCTTTCCCTATTGTTCTACTACTGTTAATGGCTCACCTGATCAGAAAGTCACTTCTTACTCAGCAGTGAGATCTTCTGGATGGTCAGTGATTTCACTGTTTGGAATCTGGGTTCTAATCCTGTCTGACTAATTTCTTTGTCATGATAGACAAAGGGCTTCTCACATGCCTCTGTTTCCCCCGGTATACAGTGACCTAGTGGAGCCAGAGACCCAAATCTCCCTCTTATCTCCAGGTCTATGAAATCTTGTCTGCATTGCAGCTCTATTTTCGAGGAATCTGGCTAAGTAAATCACCAAAGGTGGGACCTGGTTTTTACTGAAAAGCATTTGAGACTTAAAGCAGGGCAAATGGATGATCCCAAAGAAAGGATGGGAGAGTGGCGGTCTCTTTCTTTGCTCCTCCCCCATTTTTGGCAGTAGCGGTGTTTGAACTCAGGTCTGTATATGAGTTTGAACCCCAGGCTTGCCTGGCAGGTGCTCCACCACTTGAGCCATACTCACACCCCTTCTTTTCAGTTTAGTTGTTTTTCAGGTAAGGTCTCACAACTTTCCCCCTCAGGCCAGCCTTAGATTGCAATCCAGACTTTCATTTCACAAGTAGCTCTATCATATATATGGACCACCATATCCAGCTTGTTGGTTGAGATGGAAGTACCATTAACCTTTGGCTGGGCTTCCCTCAAACTGTGATCCTCCCATTTCTACCTTTCAAGTAGCTGTGGTTACAGACATGAGCCACTACTTCTGGCTCTACGCCTTTCTGATTTGGAACCTGGCACCCCTCAAATGCAACTCGAATTATTCATTTCCATTCACTTACAATACTTTGAATCTAATGACATGTCAACTGTGTCAGAAAATCCACCTGCGCCACACCTATAAACCGGGCCAGAGAGTGCAAGAGATCTCACCTTTTAGTACCACTTTTTCCAAAATGTTCATGAAGTTCTTTTGAGCAATGCCACTCAGGGATGTGAGCTGTGACTTTGCTATCAGTTCCAACAGCTGTGGATAAAAATAGAAGTCGCCAGGCTTAGAATACAGAGATATTTTTCTCTTCTAATCTTTGCTTTTAAGTCACATGACCCATAGATACAGACTGAAGGAGAGAGATAAATGGTAGTTAGGGAGATGGGGCAATAAAAAGCAGATGCTCAAAGCAAAAGACAAATGGGGGTAATTCAAAACCCAGGAGTTAAGCTGGGTATCTCATTGCTTTATTTTTTTTCACTCCTTTTAAATATAAAGAGTTTTGGCTTCAGCCAATGCTGTTTCCTTTTACTTTTCCAAGTTGGGCAATCAGAGCTGACAGTACTCTGAAAAGAACAAAACCTTCCATGACCTGTGAAAATCTGAGCTCTGTGAAGTTGTCCGAGTGGGAATGGTTTTGCCCTCACTCGAACTTCTTCCCCACCAAAACCTAACAGCTTATGTTTTGCAACCATGTGCATTTTCTAAGGAAGGGGCAATTCTTTTTCAGATAGCTCCTGATGCTCATGCAGTGGTTCAACAAACATGCCATATCATGAAGGTTTCTGGCTGCTTTTAAAATTCTCAAGAAAGAGGGCAGGCAACCCTAGGGAAGGAGAGAAGTTCAGGGAGACACAAAGTATATTTTTATGTATCTCCCTGGAGACAAGGATGACCCTGTGGTGAAGATCTAGGATCCTTGGAGCATTTTCTTTTCTGGTCCTGGGCTTGAACTCAAGGCCCGGGTTCTGTCCCTGAGCAAGCGTCTTTTGCTCAATGATAGCACGCTACTACTTGAGTCACAGCTCCACTTCCAGTTTTCTGGTGGTTAATTGGAGATAAGAGTCTCACAGACTTTCCTGCTCAGGCTGGCTTTGAACTATGACTCTCAGATCTCAGCTTCCTGAGTAGCTAGGATTACAGGCATGAGCCATTAACACCCAGCTCCTTGTAGCATCTTAAGTCTTGATTGAGTCTTGATTTGACCACTCATCAGTGCTGTGATTATTAGCAAGTCAACAAGTCTCTTGACATCTTTTTTATCTCCACTAATAATATTTACCCTCCTTAAGGCTGTGGTGAGCTTTACGTAAGAGAATGCATACAAAGTGCCAAGTAAAACTGAGGTGCTAAATAAAGGTTGGTGGTTTGCTGATGGGCTATATTCCTTCCTACAATCCCCACTATTGACAAATGAAAAAGAACTATAATAACTGAAGTTGGTGTGTCCTTCACTCAGTCTTTCACATTCTATACAGACATTTTAAGATCTTAAAAGAAAAAAAAGCAAAGATTCTGTTTTCAAAAGTGAAACATTAGATAGCCAGGTATCTTTGAAATCATCTTGTTCAATCCATTTTTCCCAGAAGAGCAAAATGAGACTGAACAGAATAAGCCTTCTGAAGCATTCCATAACCCATGAGCGGACTCAGCAGTGTTCTGTTCAACACAGGAAAATGAAGAGGAAACACATCATGCTTTTGAAGAGTCACCAAACAAAAGGGTAAGTGAAAACAAGTTTGTCAGAACAAAGGAAAACCAGGTCTCCAAGAATAATTGGCCAGGCACCGGTGGCTCATGCTACTCAGGAGGCTGAGATCTGAGAATCACGGTTCAGAGCTAAGCCGGGCAGGAAAGTCTATGAGACTCCTATCTCCAATTAACCACAAGAAAACTGGAAGTAGCACTGTGGCTCAAGTGGCAGAGCTCTTGCCTTGAGCCGAAGAGCTTAGGGACAGTGCCCATGCCCAGAGTTCAAGCCCACAACTGACCAAAAAAAAAAAAAAAAAAAGAAGAAAAAAGGATTAACTGAATTCAGGCTTAGTAAACTAGACCCAGAAAACCAAGACTTCTCATTTCTCAGCATCTCTGCTACTTAGAATCTTGTATCTGCTCAGGCCCTCAGTCGACTTTGTCTCAGGTTTATTAACATGGACTATGATACATGTTAGGTTCTGCAGTAAAAGCTGGAGGAAATAGCAAACTGGAATTTACAAAATTGGCTGGGGGCTGGCAGCTCATTCCTAGAATCTTAGCTACTAAAGAAGCTGAGGGCTGGGAAGTTGGCTCAGTGGTAGAGTGCTTGCCTTGCATGCCTGAGGCCCTGGGTTCGATTCCTCAGCACCTCATAAGCAAAAAGAAAAAAGCCGGAAGTGGCTCTGTGGCTCAAGTGGTAGAGTGCTAGCCTTGAGCTGAAGAGCTAAGGGACAGCGCCCAGGTCCAGAGTTCAGGCCCCACGACTGGACCCCCCCCCAAAAAAAAGAAGCTGAGATTTGAGGGTTGTGATTTGAAGCTAATCTGGGCAAGAAAGTCCATGAGACGCTTATCTCCAGATATCTATCAAAAACACTAGAAGTAGAGTTGTGGCTCAAGTGGTAGAGCACTAGCCTTGAGCTTAAAAGAAGCTCAGGGATATAGGGGGTACACACACACACACACACACACACGGGGACACACACACACGGGGACACACACACACGGGGACACACACACACACACACACACACACACACACACACGGGCTACTAAAACAGAAAAAAAGAAAAGAACAAAAAGCCCCTGAGGAGGTAGAAGAAAAAAAAAATCAAACCTGCACTACCACCTTGCATTAATGTTTCAGTTCAGAATACCTCTGCTTCCTAGGCATTTAAGCATTGTGACCCCAAAGCCCTTTAGGGGCCTGTCAAACCACCAATAGACTCAATTTCTGGAACATAATTTTACCTCTACATTGAAAGAAAAAGCCCCACATGCCTCTCTGGCCTGGCTGCTGTAATTTTCATCCGTGCAGGGAACAACAAAGGCCACCTGACCGGGAGAAGGACACGAGACTCTGTTAGGATCAGTCTGATGCTCTAAGACTAGAAGTCAGGAGCTGACAGGGACGCCAAGAGATGCCAGAAATCAAAACACCCAGAGAGGCCATGTCTGCATACGCTCTGCCTGTCTGGTTTAGTTCTGTCACCCATCAGCACGTGACAGTCAAGAGAACAAGTGAAAAAAAAAGGTACAAAGGGATTAGCCAAACCTTTCATTTATCACTGACCAGCAGCAGGATCCAGAAGGCCAAGCTGGTGGTTTATTAATACTCAGCATCTCACATGACGAGCCCAAAGCAAGATGAAAGAAAACAAAAGCCCGGAGCTCATTCTTGCAGGGCAGTCGGCTGAGCACTGTGACTCATCACTGAGGGGGAGGTAGGGCAAGGGGCAAGAGAAGGCAGGCAGCACTCAGCCTGAAATCTATCCAAAACCCGCGGTCCATGTGACCACCGGCTCCCGAGGATGTCAGTTTTAATCTCATCTAAAAATGCACCAACCACAGGGACAAGAAAAGTGAAGGGCATGACTGTGCAGTTAAGGGGAAACAAAAAACCCTTTGGACTGGCTGAGATTATTTTCTTTGACTAAGGAGGGGGAGGGGTACAGTAATAAAAATTTGTCAACTGACAGCAGAATGCTGTGTCCACTACTCTGTTTTACCCTATCTCAAAAGAAAGTCTCCCTCCCCCGCCCCCCATTTTAACTGCCAGGCAGCTATGGGACGCTGGGAATAGGAGCTAGAATCTCTGGTTAGGTGACCTTTACAGCTGTCATTCATGAGGCAAGAATTTTTGAGAGTGCACTCTATCTTAGCATTGCCGGAGGTGACAGGGTTATGACGAGAAGGACATATGATCCTAGACTCATCTAGTCTAGTCATCTATCAACCGCAGGGCCCCGCCCCCTCCCCCATGTCTCCCTCCCCCTCCCATGCCTCTGGTCCTGGGGCTTGACTCAAGGGACACACACTCTCCCTTAGCTTTTTTGCTCAAGGGTGGGACTCTACATTTGAGTCACATCTCTACTTCTGGCTTTTTGCTGGTTAACTGAAGGTAAGAGTCTCACAGATTTTTCTGCCTGGGCTAGCTTTAAACCTTGATCTTTAGATGTCAACCTTCTGATCAAGATTATATGAGTGAGCCACTAGCACCCAGTTCTATTTCTTCGTTTCTGATATGGCAATAGCAAGACTACCTATATCATAGGATGGTAACATGATTCAAGTGAGATAAATATATAAAAATCCAACTTTAAATACCAAATATAAGGCATTAGTATAATAAGTAACACTTCTTGCAAATTATGGTCTTTTAGGAATTCTTAAATTGATATCTGGGTTGGCAAGTTTCTCCTGGGAAAGACCAGACACTACATATTGTAAAGTTTTTGGGTCCTCTGGTTTCTGCAGAAATACTCAGCTCTAAAGTGGTAGTGTAAAAGTAGCTGTAAACAATATGTAAATGAGTGTGCATGGATATGTTCCAATAAAACTTTATTTACAAAACAAGCAGATGTGGTCCCTGGGCCAACTTCTAGTATATAACATAGAGTATAAGATTGAGGGCTGGGTGCTGGTGGCTTACACCTTTAATCCTAGCTACTCAGGAGGCTGAGATCTGAGAATCGCAGTTCAAAGCCAGCATGGGCAAGAAAGTCCTTGAGACTCTTATATCCAGTTAACCACCAGAAAACTGGAAGTGGCACTGTGGCTCAAATGGTACAGTGCTTGCCTTGAGCTAAAGAGCTGAGGGACAGCGCCCAGACCCAGAGTTCAAGTCCCACAACCGACCAAAAAAAAAAAAAAGAAAAAAGAAAAAAGAAAAAAAAAGATTGAGGGTTCCAGAGCCCCTGTCTCAGTTTTTCCATGTAGAAACTGCATAATAATAGTTCTTACTTCACAGTTGTTGAGATTAAAAGCCTTCATAAAACCCAATTGTGCCTGGAACTAAGAATATATTTAAGAGTGTTTTCATTGGCTTATATAATAATATAGACCATTGTCAGATAAAATTATTGACAAACAGATAATAGTGAATTAAATAAGACCTCATATTTCAATCGTATGTGTTAACTAAATGCTTTCAGATTTTAATATTCCTTTCTGTTATCTCTATTATATTTGTGACACATCTAATAGTTCCCCATCTGTTGATAAAAGTTAACACTGATACCTTGTATGGTTTGCATACCTGCACTTGGTATGAAGTCTTATTT